ATATCAGCTGGACTGCCTATTTTATAAGTGGTAACTAACACATCAGAAAGTAAGATATACTGAAATATCCAAGAAAATGAAGTACTTCGCAATATGATTGAACTAGAAGTTCAGAACATAGAACCAGTATCAAGCCAAATACAGCAAAGGAGACAGCATAAAGTGAAGAAAGGTCCTCCAAGCAATGGACACTCAGAAAGAAAATAATCAATTCAGAGGTGCACACGGATATTAATTGCAATAAACAGACTCTTCTTGGTAAAAAGACAGCATTAACTTCATTGTGCAAAACAAAAATGTGATCTACCGCCTTAATGACAAAGAGTGTGATACCATTTCTGGTGCACAATCCATACAAGGTATAACGACATGTTGTGTCCTTGCTACTTAAATGTTAATGATACCTCTAGTTCAAGGTATAACAATTATGATACAATGTTGACACCTGGCTCAGCCCTTCTTATCCTTGTTTATGATTTTCTAGATTGAAATAGTACGAAGTTTCATTAGCAATGCTGATACCACAATTTTGATATAGATGTCAATATCCATTTATATTGGCATCCACATGAGGAAATTCTGATCGAGCATTTTCATTTACTTTGTCAAACCAATATTCCCTGGCACAGTTTTTTTTCCTTATAGGCATCACTCCAGCAACGCATACCATAAACTTCTGCAAGATATTACCATAATATGTCGATTTTCGAAGAGGTACTGACAGGTAAAAGCAGGGAAATTGGACCAGCTAGATCAAGTCCTAATATATAGAGTTACTGTTCCAGCACGTATCATAATCTTTTTGCACTTACCAATCACAAACTCCTCCGTCGTAAACTAACCTTGCATATCTATGCATTTTGACTTTAAAATGTATCTTGCTTCTGAGTATAACTTCATTGCACTTAGAAATGTTATCTTTTTGTGGTGGTATGCCTGCATTGATATTGCCTTGGGCCTCAACATTGACCTTTTCGCTTGCTTGTGCTCATTTTTTCTCTAGGCCTCTCTCGTTGGTAGTAGAGGGCCAAGGCCATTGAGTTTGGGGCTATAACAGGTGGCTTTTCAAAGAAAATGAATACCCTAAGAGGTCAAGAGAGATTGTGTGATTCTCTTGCATTTCTCCATTGATAGTGTAACTTTTTACTTCTCTCTTGCCCATGAACATAGGTTAAAGTCTGATTCACATATATCTCCATCATCTTGTATTTTCCTTTCTTCCTCTTATTTCCTTCTTTGTATTTTGCATCTTTTAATACTCCAGTTTAGTTCCACAATGGAAGTGGGAGAACTATTGAGTTGATTTATAGGGCTAGATAAGTCGACTACCATTAACCTGAGTTTAAGTATTTTGAACCAATTGTTCAGATCTATCAAGTTAATAAGTAACTCTACTAGTAATATCATTAAAAACAAAATGAAATCAGCAAAAAAATGAAAAACTACATGTAAATAAAATCTCATCGCATCTTTTTAGCTAATAATTTTAATATAAGAAATGAAGTTGCAGCAAGTGTGCCCAAGGTATTGTATTTCAAGAAGAACCTTAAAGGCAAAGTGGTTCCACCTTAAGAACCTTGAGTTCTATCCTTGTAATTTCTCGACCATTGATATACACCTGTGTGTTACCATTGCTTGCATCTGACTGTAACTTTCCTCCTATATTGAGTTTCGAACTTATAATCCTGTCAGGCCTCTCACCTTCCTGCCACCAGTTCCAACAGTTAAAAGTCTAATTGGCTGCTCAATCTGAAGCAACGAGTTCATACAAAAAACACGATGTAAAAAATACAAACTGAAATATAAGCAGATCATATATTATTAGACAATCAGCAAGCTCCAAAATATTAGGAGAAACCAACTATGTTCCATCGCAGACTTGTTCTCCACTTGATTAATAGAATTTGTGTCTGTTAATGTGATAAGCAAACTTAATATATTAGAACCTTATCTTGGAAATACTTGCTGAGGATATAATTATTAATCCATCGTAAGAAGGATAATCTATCAGTTATTCAGAATTCACAATGTCCGACCTCCCTTTTCCTTGAGAGTTTTTCTTAAATAATCCAAGTAACTAATTAAGAACAATAAGTCCAGTATGGGGAAGCAAAAAGTCACCTTCCCCCAGAGTCCTGAATCCTTGTCATACCAATATCTCCCAGGCCTCAGTTTCTGAGGCGGCATCGAGCACCCCAAGACTTCATCGAGCTCCTCCTGCTGCAATGGCCGGCCATTGACAACCAATTGCTCTGGTCTGAGCTGGTTCGCAGGGCATTCCCTCTCCGCCTTCATGACCTGCCTGATCTCCAACGGGCTGCACAGCTTAGACAGCATCTTAGAGCACTTACCAAGCCCCGACCTTTTGGACTCGTCAATCGGACGACCAATGCAGCTCACACATTTTCTCCCCTCAGGCATTGACCCCATGGCCTTCAGCACACAATTGCTGCAGTACCTCGCGTCGCACACCAAGCATGCCTCCCTCTCCTTCAGGATGTTACCTTTCCCGCACCGAAAGCAGACGCCCCTCCTCCTCTCCCTCGCCGGCGCCGGCTCCGCGGCGGTGGCGCCTCCGGCTAGGTCCTCCTCCGAATCCTTCTCCGCGCCGAATGTAACCGCCACGGGTCGCGCCGAACCGGAGAAAGAACTGATGCCACGTGCCGAGGAAGTCCTGGCGCCGGACCGCAACGCGCCGCCTTCGGGCTCCGCAAACGCGCACGCGACGGAAGACGACCTGGCCCTCTCAGCTGGCATCCTCCGAGGCGGGTCGCCGCTTCGTCGGCGGTTGAACCGAGGCCCACCGGGGAGGGAGTGGCCACAACCACCGGCAACGGAAGCGGGGGCACCGCGGGGCTCCAGAGACTCCACCTCGGAGACGTGGTGGGGGGCCGGGGGAAAGTCGCACCCGACGGAGATGGAGTAGTCGAGGTGCTCCTCGTCGGGGAGCGGCGCGCCGTGCGGGAGCAACCTCCGCAGCGCCGCCTCCCACGAGCCTCTCTCCGTCCCCTCCTCCGTCGCAGACGCCATCTCTATTCCGCCTCTATCGGGGGCTCCGATGCGTAGGGTTAGGGTTTCCGGGATCCATAACTGGAGCTCAAAGGAGGCCGGGAGAGGAGCGCGCACGCACAGCGGAGACGGTGAGAGTCGCAGCGGTAACGGGTGGATTTTAACGGCGTCGGGGAGTCGACGGAATCCTCGGCTTTTAACGACAGCCGGCGTCGATGCTTCACCTCCAAGCGTACGTGCAATTCTCAAATGACCATAAAAGTCGTCAAGCTAGTAATGATTGGGGTCATAAGTTCTCGTAAATGACTTCTCCTATTAGGGGTATATTAGGTAACGAAGCTCAGTAAGCGCTGCGCATGGGAGCGCGTGAGCCACATCACCGTTGCTTTCAGAACTTGGCGGAGCGATGGCGGCGTGGGGTCCAGCAGTGGGATTCGGCGGGGCCCCACAATCGCATGCGGTCACGGTGAAAAGAGAAGGGGCCGACGGAGTCCGTGGAGACAAAATCTGAGCCGTCCAATTATGCTTGTACGTTGTGGCAGACGGACGTCAGATCGGAAGGAGCGTCGGTTTTTGTTGGGGAAGGGTGAGGATCGACTGTTTCCGGGACGACAGCGAACCGCGGACTACCCTCATGATTGTAGACGTGCCCCACTGGTTCAAGGTCAATCGATTGGGCTCGTCCTCGGGAATCTGTTGCCTGTCTCCCGATACCTTCGCCGTTCATATTAATGACACGTGGATGGTTGATTCCCTTTCGCGCTCGTCGAAGTGATGGGCACGAAGTGCGAACATTCTGCGGAATAGTAAGCTTCTGATAGCGACGCTACTCGCCCAAGAAGCTCAGCAGGGGTGACGTGGTGTGTGGCCGATCCAATAAGGCAGCGAAGGTTACTACCCCCTCGTCATCGGCGATGGGTCCCACGGTTTGTCTCCGACCGAAGCAATCTGATGCCTGTCTCATCATGCATACGAGAGATCCCACGGGATCACAAGCGGCTTCCGCATTCGGATGCTTGCCGCGTGGAAGATTGCCTGATTGATTGATTGGCACGCCAGTCCCGGAGTGCGTACTTACTCGCCTGAGAAGCTCGTCACCGGTGACGTTGCCTCTGACGGACCCGATGAGTGGGACCCGCGCGGTCGATGTGACATCACCCGATAAAACTTTTCATGGGACGACGACCCGGGGTCTACCATTACATCATGTTGAGGCCGCTTGCGTGTTGCTGACGTCGGCTGTCACTAGACACAGGATCATCCTACAACCCGATCCGAACCCGTAAACCCAAAAGACGTAATCCTAAGCGGGTTATATATGGTTGGGCCCGACGGGCACCATATCGCATCCGCAAACCCCAAGCGGGTCGGATTTAGTGTGGTCTTTGAGAATGACACGAAGCAAAACCCACGTCGTCTGTTGTTGGCGACTCCTTCCCCTCCACGAGTTCGCTCCCAAGTAGATTTTGGTCTCTTCTTCTCATATTGTGGCTGTGAAGAGTTGCAAGAACGTGAAGACTTGAGAATGCCAAGTTTGTCTCTCTAAGTTCATGGTGGATCTCTATGGACGCGCCACTCGAGCCCTTCCCAATCGAACGATCCTAAAACGTGCGAGAAATATCTTTACATCACCCGACTCACAACTCACGTATAGCCTCGGCTTCACATATATTTACATCAATGGCATCAAATTAATACAATATTCACATTAGATGTAAGCCAGCAATCAGATGCCAAATCTCAGAGAGCTTATTGAATATTTGTTGACTTGTAATTTTACCTCAATTTTTTTTATTTGACAACATGGCAAACATCAATTTAGAGGTAATCAAATCTAATTCATATCTTTTTGCTGATATAAATAAAGATAAAAAGATTTAGGCAATATTTTGAAGATGATGGCATGATCGTTAATTATTTCAACTCTCGGGCCAATTGCTCTAGTTGCTCTTCAGCTGCCGTAATAAAATGGCGATCCATCTCCTCCCACCGGATGCCAGCTCGCTCCGAACGGTTACGGCTCTTCCCCACCCCCATTTCCACGACCTATTTCCCAATTCCCCCTCTTCCGTCTCGATTCGATCTTTCCAATCTGTTCGTCTGGTAGTAGAATCGGTTCCCCGGTGCTTCTTGCGTTGAACTTCTTGTTGTTGAGACTGATCGAGGGGTTTCTTGGTGTTGCAGGTGATTAGAGACGGTTCCTCGTCAGTTTTGATCGATGGAAGCCGCTACGAGCCTTCAGTCTTTTCGATTCCTCTGCAAAGCTCCCGGATTTGGCCCGAGATCGTGCGTCTTGGCGGCCCACCGGTCCAGTTTTCTCTTCTTTGATCCCAAGCCTCATCTCTCCACCCGGGGGCTCAAGGTTTTTGATGTAAGTTCCGCTATATTTTCCCAAAAAGTTTGCATCTTGATCAATTTGTTTGGGATCGTGATGTTTTGATATACTTTCTTTGAATCTGTGGCAGGGCTATTGTCCGATATCTCTGTCAAAGCAAGGACAACGACGAATTGGTGCTCGGAGGAGTACTATTGTTAGGGCATCGTCGTCCTCCCCCTCCTCGGACCCGATCGCTCCTCTCCAGCTGGAGTCGCCGATCGGGCAATTTCTGTCTCAGATCCTCGTCAGCCATCCTCATCTCCTGCCTGCGGCCGTCGATCAGCAGCTCGAGCAGCTTCAGACTGACCGTGAGGCCGCGAAGAACAAAGAGGAACCTACCCCTGCGGACACCGACATAGTTCTGTACAGGTAAAAGGTAGTTTTTGTTTTGTTATAGTTGCATGATATTAGAGTGTTGTGTAGATAAAAGTTCCAACTTTTATGGTGAGAAAATAATGATGAACAAAAGATGACATCGAAATTATTAGGAGGATTGCGGAGGTGAAAGCTAACGAGAGGAGAAGGGCTCTAGAGGAGATATTGTATGCACTGGTCGTCCAAAAGTTTGTCGAAGCTGATGTTTCCTTGGTTCCTGCTATATGTCAATCGGCCGACCCTTCCGGGAAGGTCGATCAGTGGCCACCGGAGGATGAGAAACTCGAAAGGTTGCATTCTGCTGAGGCTTATGAGATGATCAAGAACCACCTGGCTCTTATACTGGGGCAGCGGACGAGTGACACAAACTTGGTGGCGCCTATCAGCAAGCTTAGAGTTGGTCAGGTGTATGCTGCTTCTGTAATGTATGGTTATTTCCTCAAGAGAGTGGACCAAAGGTTCCAGCTTGAGAAGTCCATGAAGACTCTCCCTTGGGGATCAGATGTAGAGGAGAGTGCCATTAAGCAAGCGATGATTGATGAATCAGTTCCATCTGTTCAACCGGAGATACCTCACCCTGAGGTGTCATCATGGTCTTCTCCAAGCTTTGGCCAGGGTGGGATGAAGCCCTGCCGCCTGCGGTCCTATGTCATGTCTTTTGATTCCGATACTCTTCAACGACATGCCACGATCAGATCGAAGGAAGCTTTTAGCATCATTGAGAAGCACACCGAGGCGCTATTCGGGAGGCCTGAGATTGTCATTACACCCGAGGGAGCCATTGATTCGTCAAAGGATGAACTTATCAAGATAAGTTTTGCGGGATTGAGGAGGCTTATTTTGGAGGCTGTAACCTTTGGTTCCTTCCTATGGGATGTCGAGAGCTATGTTGATTCCAGGTATCATTTTGTGACTAACTAGTCACCTGTGATCAGACTTGAAGGATCGATAATGCAAGGATGTTTAGTATCTACAATAACATCTACAGTTATTGCCAACGTTGAAGATCAAAACAGTGGCAACGAGGGCTGTGTAAACTCAGATCCTTGTAGTTGAGGATCATAAACATTGTACAAAAGTAGGTTCCCTATAATTGTTCTTGATTTCAAAGACTTTTTCTGCGCAATGGTGTTTTGTGTGATCTCTGCTTGTAATTGTAATATGAGATTTTGTTGTGTACTGAAAGCACCTTGTATCATTGATAGATTCCATTGCAAGTAGTGCCAAACTTTATCATGGGGAGTCTGCTCTTTGATGCTCATTTCAAGCTTATGTATAGGCAGCTCATTGGTCCCATGATAACCTTCTTAATATATTCTTCTTTCTTTCAACAAACCTGTTCAACAATGGCACTCCAATTGCCATTGCTTCAAGAATACCATCCCCTCTGTCATCTTCCTCTGCCCGGGAAGCAAAGTCGAACATTTTGGGGAGAGTTTATTTGGTGCGCAGAGCAATCAAACTTTTATCCAAATTTCATTCGAGGCAAAACAAAAAAGACCTTTTTTGTTTGTACTATGAAATCAAAACCAGGTTTTTAGAGGAAAGGAAGTTCTTTGGTGGAGAACATGGGAGAGACGGAAGCAGAACGGAGAAGACGAGAGGATTGTCCGAGTCATGATGAGCGGTCGATCAAACTTCCCCTGTCCCCGATGACCTGACAACTCGGGGGAGCAGGAGAGGAGAGACGGCGTCATCGCCGTCGCGAGGAGGAGGAGGGCCAGAGCCAGCGTATCGCGCGCGGCACCGGCCATATCTCCGATCGATCGATGTAACAGCTACCCGAGGAGGGAGGTGGCGATAGCGGTGGCGCCGGGACAGAGTGACCCAATAACCAAACATTTGACTTTTACCGTTGACCCGATGCCGCCGCGTCACCACTCTGCCATGTGATCAGAGAGACCATGTGGCCCATGGGGGACCTCCAATTTTGGTCTGATGTATCGCGGGCTAGAGTTAGTTAAAGTGTTATGCGAGGGGGGAGCCGTTGTTACTGTATGGTGCGTGGGCATAGTTTAGAGAGAGAGCAGGTTAGGAAAGAGATGGCAAAGAGTTACGTTAACGGAAGAGGGAATGGGAGATTGGTGAGAGTGCAGATTATTGGAAGATATTTAGGATAAATCAATACAAGCTTTGGAAACTTTGATGAGTTGATGTCTATTAGGTTCTAAGATGACATTTCTCATTTTTCTAGAAATTTTCATTTCACCAATGTCACAATAATGATCAATCAGCAATTTGAACTGTTTTAATACAATGTCAATTGCATTTCCTATCAAAGGACATTAGTAGTTTCATTGTATATTATTTCTTGATAAAATATTGAATTAAGAATAAATAATATGGAATTGTATTTATAAATTCAATTATTAATTATTAAGCATTTAATCATGGAAATCATCTGCTTAACATCTGCATTCTTATACAAACACATAATTTTGATACACTTCCATATTTCATGCTTGAAATAGTACTAAAAAGAACAGTACTCCCAAGAAATTAAAGAAAACATATTGAAATTACATGATCTTCTTATGTGATTGCTAAATTACATTATCTTTATATTTTATGTTGGTGGCCATTTATAAATACAAGAAGAATGGTGTTTAAACAAAAACTGAGAGAAGCTATAATGGATAGAAACAATTGATCACTATGAAAGAATCATCTTGACAAGAACTCCAGGCTATTTGAGATGTCATTTTGATCTTCCCAAGGTGAACTCCAAGCTAGGGATTACTAGTTCTTGATAAGAACCATTTGCGTCATCTGATGTGCAAGAGTGATCCTGTTTAAAGGCCAAAAAAAGAGTATCATCGACTGACTTAAACTTTTGTAGATGGAATGAAAATAATCGTGAATTAACATGATATTAGATCGAAAAATTATTTCGGTTTATTTAGGATCAATATACAAAAGGAGTGAAATTTAACCAATCTCTTCTCGAGATGTATGTTTGAATATGTATGCAACACTTTTTGTTCTTGATAGAGACAAAAAAAAAAATAATTGTATCAGTTGAACTACATTGATCATCTTGTTTAAAGTCGAAATTGAATGACGAAATCCTCGGAGGACAAATTAAGTTGCTATTTGGTACCTCAATTTGTGACGAAAAAGAAGTCGATTGAAGCGCATCTGAATTGATTTCCTTCCAAAGACCTTTGCTTTTTTTTTTTTTGTTGCAAAAATAGAGAATTATTTAATATTGATGCTGAGAGAAATAACGTAATATATATGAGAACAAATTCAACTAAAGAGCACAATAAACTAATGATTAATCAACTTATTCCTCTGTAACACAAATCAAAATGCTGCCTAAGAACCAAAATTATATCATAAGATTAAGACTAAAGGAAAAAAAAAAAACTTATGGAACAACCAAATGGTCAACCCAAATCCAAATCCAAGCACCCATTAGCAACATAATAAAGCTTGGTGAGAGGATTGACCATTCTAGATTGTGCTTATGGGGCTGGATATTCTCAAATAACAATGACAAGGTTGGCATTGACAAAAGTAAGGCCTATGATCAACTTTTCTTACTAGTGAATTGGATGCTTTTTTGCTGGACTTTAGCTTTAGATCACCTTATAAGATCTTAAAGAACATAAATGGATATATAGATAAAAGTAAAAGCTGCCATGGTAGTCCTGAAGTGGTAGTGGAGTCAATGTTCCAACCCTAATGAAGCTTAAAGGCATCTTTTATACCAAAAGCTACATCTTCTAATGAAAAAACATGAGAGAGAGAGAGAGAGAGAGAGAGAGAGAGAGAGATTTGCTACCTAGATGAGTTACTCCATCCTGTGGTGGAGTCCAAATAATGGTGCTGGTTTGGTGCATCTGAGAATTTGTGCACCATTAGTGTTAGATCACTGTTTCCAAGTGCCAAATCCGATTGACCTTAAGAAAGAGGAATAGATGAGAAAAATACACTTACAAAATGTAGATGACATGAACTAATTTGTTGAGGATGAGCTACACGGATTACCTGAGGAAGCTGCAGGCTTGTCGGTGGATTTGGTTGTTCTATACATCTGCAAGGAAAGGAATAAAGGATGGAAAAAGAAGTTGAGAAAGGTGAAGGAGAGTGAGATGAAAAGAAAGAGAAAGGAGGCAGTTGTTGGTCTTTTTCTTGTTTCTTGATGTTATTGCTAACGAGGTTGATACTTTGTAATTTGTTGAGAGGTTTGTATTTATATGATCTCCTTATTATTGTGAAATGATGCCTACTTTTCTTCTGTTTCCGTCACTTTTTCTACGTTTGGCAGTTTTCCTGTCTGTGGAGAAGCAGACTTAGAGAGAGAGAGAGAGAGAGAGAGAGAGGAACGGCTTGAGCTTTAACTTGGGAAACACATGCAAGTGGCTCTATACACACAGAGAGAGAGAGAGAGAGAGAGAGAGAGAGAGAGAGAAGAAGAAGAAGAAGAAGAAGAAGAAGAAGAAGAAGAAGGGCTTCAGGTTTAAGTAGGGAAACACCTGCAAATGGCTCTTGACATGGGCTGAGAGAGAGAGAGAAGAAGGGCTTCAGCTTCAAGTAGGGAAACACCTGCAAATGGCTCTTGACATGGGCTGAGAGAAAGAGAGAGAGAGAGAGAGAGAGAGAGAGAGAGAGAGAGAGCTGATGACGATGAAGAAGTAGGCTTGTGCTTTAAGTAGAGAAATACCTGCAAGTGGGCCTTGATATGTGTTAAGAGAGAGATGACGATGATGATGATGAAGATGAAGATGAAGAAGAAGAAGAAGACGAAGGGGGGCATGAGTTTGAAGTAGGGAAACACCTGCAAGTGGCTCTTGACATGAGCCAGAGTAAGATCTTTCACAGCCATAAGCTCCAGAATCGACTTCGGTGTCGCTCCTGATGCCAAACCATACCAAAAACCACACGTTTTCTCAGATCAAACAAACACACGATGATCAGGATCATCTTATGAATCCTATCCTATCATCAAACATCATCGACCACACTAATCACAGCTGCAAAGAAACGAGAAGGGGTGCAAGAGGCCGCGTACTCTCATGTCCACCGAGGAGCTCGATGGCGTGGACGAAGTGGGCGTGGAGGCTGCTTGTCCACCGCATTCTCGGCGCCCTGATGGTGCTCCGCTTCGTTGGATATCTCGGCGTCGATCTCGACCTCATCAAGCTTTGTGTGGCCTCCAGTGATCCGACGCCACAAGGGAAGTACTCGTTGGACCAGTGCAAGTAGGAGCTCATCAAGTATGCTTCGTTCGGATAACCATTACAAGAAGAAGAAGACATCTGGTGTTGGAGTCCAGACTTGGGATAGATTGGAGCACCATTTATTGGCGTAGGAGACGACAGCGGTCCTTGAAACCTCTGAAACACGTTGGCCTCGGAAGAGGACATGGCGCACGCGAGAGAAAGATCGATGCAAGCTCGGTAGCGACCGTCATCGCCGGAGGTGCCAGAAGAGACGACGCCGGGAAGCCCGATGGTCAAAGATAGATCAGGCGAGGCAGTAGAGCTGGTTCCTGTAGATTCCCCTTTCAATGGCATCGTATGGTCTCCTCTGCCAGTCTCAGCTTCAGTATCTTCTTGAAGTGGAGATGCTTTGCTTGAGGAGCAAGAAGGAAGTGTCTTCTTCTTTCTCTGTGATGCGATCTAAAGAAGCAAAAGAAGACAGCGAGATTAGTGTGTGTGTGTTTTGGTAGTAAATATAGGGAAAGATATACATGGGAAAGGGGCGGGGAGTTGAAGGGCAGATGGGTTCTCTTCTGCTTTATTTGAGTCTGCATGAATGTGGGAACAAAAACACGAGAGAGAGAGAGAGAGAGAGGAATGCGTAACTTTGAGGCTTCCTAACATTTGAAGTTATCTCATCACTTTCTGACCAAGCTCACAGTGATTCATTTCAAACACCACATGATATGAGCTTAAAAGAATCAAGAAAAGCTAGAGAGATATAGAGTGAGAACAGATGGAGGAAAGTAGGCACAATGGTTCATATTAGATTCTCTTTCCCCGTTCAATATCCA